TTTATCCAGATATACATACGATGAGTAACATCATTTACTGATAAAAGAGAAACTGGTGGCTGGAAACCTGGAGGGATGGAAACTTTTCACTTGTCCACAATTTAAACCTTTTGCATTTTGAACAGTGAAAATTATTACTTATTCAAACCATTCAAAAATAAAAGTGCTTTAAAATATATTTTCAAACCCTCCTACTTACAACAAATCTAGCTGTGTATTAGGCCCTGGGTGAGCAAAACCTACCCTATCAGTTTCTAACCTATGAAGTGTTTTCAACACTTTATATCCCCTCAGAGACACAGCCCATGGGTAGATTCCCAATGTCCAAGATGTATAAACAAATAATTATTATCATAAGCGAAGTGATTGTTATCCTAGAGATATGGGCTTAGAACTTTGAAAGCACAGGTTGGGGGTAGGCAACATACTATGCCTGAAGGCTCGAGGAGGTATCCTGTAAATGGGGTTTTGGTGGGAAGTAACATGTAAACTGGGTTTTGAAGAATGCTTAGGAGCTTTAAAAAATAGAAAAGAGAGGAAGAGCACCTCAAAGAGAAATAGAATTTTCGGAAAAGGCCTGAAATATTCTCGGAGGAAAATAGTTTGGTATGATGATCAGGGCAGCATGGGAAATAGTAGGAGGTGAGGCCATCAGTCAGGATGAGGCCAGATTGTGCAGGCTTTGCATGTTGCACTGGGGAGTATGGATTTCTTTCCCAAAATCTTGTTAAATCCCCAGGGTCAATCTAGGGGGAATGATCAATAAATGTGTGTGGAAAGGAACAGATACTTAATCAACAAGTTGTTTCTCCTGTCTGTTCCTCCTCACTGCCCGTGAGGAAGATGGGCTTATAAGGACCTTGTGCTGATGGTAAACTCATGGGGTCTAGTGTCTGGAGAGGTGAAGGGGTCCAGGTGCAAGTTTAAATACACACCTCTTTCCCAACACTACACTTGAAAAAGAAGTCCAAGTCTTGGCCTCTGAGTATGATGAGAATGTGTGCTTATTGAAGAGACAGAAGTCCACGGGCCTGGGATTTCAAACAGGGCCCGTTTGCAGGGAGATTTTGACTTTCACTTTGCACGAGGAGCTGAGGAAGGGAGCTTGGCTCTGGCTTCCCGCCCTCCTCTGCTCTCCTTCCAGCCTGGAGGGCGGCCCTTTCTCCAGAGGATGACCAATCAGGACTGTGGGAGGTCGCCCACTGGTTGCCTCCATAAACTCTAGAACAGTGCCGCAGGTTAAGGGACAATCTTTGAAAAATAAACAAAATAAACAAATGACCTCAAAGCTTAACTTCTCTGAGAAAATCCACCGTTTACCAAAGAGCTTGTGAGAATGGAGCTGGTAAGGACAAACAAAGCTGAACTTTAGTAAGAAACAGATTTTATGCAGTAACTACTGATGAGCAGGGGAAAGAACTGAGCTGCAGCCCCGTGAATGCAGAGGTGACTGGGTTTTAAAGGGTGAATGAGGCCAGCGGGGGCTCAGGTGAAAACTGACAAGGGTGGGGCAGTGGACCCGGGGTCGGCCAGCCAGTACTGATTACAGTTCAAAGGCATGGCTCTCAGGTCCTTGAGAAAAACACTTCTGAGTTGTAGGAGGTTCATACACATCTGGAAGGGACAGAGGGAGGACTCACAATGGGAAACCCTTTTGAGTAAGTGCTCTAAGTGAGACAGGCTGGGACCTGGGTCCCTTTGCTGCAGTGCTTGCACCTGGACAAACATCTCCTCCAGCGACAAAATACGAAGAAATTATAAGAGACTAAAAATAACTGCGTGCCTGCGCAATTGGGGCAAATTACGAACAAGATACAAAACGACCAAAAACCCAGCAAAAGCAGGGGACCGCACATTCCCCCTGCACACAGCACCACCAAGGGGGTGGGCAGATGACCGAAGCCACGCCCCCAGCCCTACCCCCGGACCCGCCCCTACACTCACCCGCCTCAGGGAGTAAGCAAGGGAACCTGTTTCTTGTTTTCGCTCTCTGGTGCTGCAACTCAAGTCTCAAGAGAGCCTTGCCCGAATTTCTTGCCTGGCCTCTTATCAATTTCTATCGATTAAGGAGGCCAGGAACAAAGGTCCGTTACGGAAGGAAAGGGGGTGAGAGGCCGGTCCTGGAGGTTGGCTGGAACAGTGAAATCTCCCGGCAGCAGGGAGCTTTCTCAGGCAGGCTTTTTTTTTTTTTTTTTTTTTTTTTTTTTTTTTTTTTTTT